ATACTTGCTATAAATTTTTACAGATGGCTAAGGAAATTTCTTCCTCTTCTCACTTTATTTTAAAATTTTGAATGGGTGTTATGTTTCACCCAATGTTTTTTTCTGTATGTACTGGGATGATTATAGGATATTTAGATTTGCTAATATTAAATGATCCCTGCATTCCTGAGATAACCCAAATTACTCATGGTTTCTATATTTTTTAAAATTCTATTTGCTAATATTTTGTGCAGGCTATATTATTTTTAGAAAAAGAATAAGATAAGACTTTATCACATATATTAGATTAAATATTAAATTCTAAAATTAATTTTAAAAAACACATATAATAAAAAAAATCACATTTGGTTCAAAAAGGTATGTGCACATTCGAGGCCATACTTGCAAAGCATTTCACTCTTCTGATAATGGTGGGCTAGGTAATTTCTATGAATGCTTTTATTGAGAAAAAATAGGTTAAATGAAAAAAATACAATGAAAAATTATAATGGAGGGTATTGAGGAGTACCAAAAGAAGTAAGAGTTCTGATGCCTAAATCTGAGTAGTTGAGGGATTGTTTTTAAAAGAATCAAATGATTATGGAATGTAAATACTCAAAGCAGATGCTCCTTAGGCTTTATTTTAACATTCTTGAGTGAGACTGGACTATAGTGGTTCATGCTTTTATCGATTGGGTGCCATCTGCCTCTCCTATGCCAGGTCCTTCTCTGTGTCCAGAGAGGCTGGATTGGTCAAACTCTGACAGCATTGCCTCAGCTAGTACAACTGGGAAGCTGATCCTAGAAGAAATTTAAATTTAAGTTGAACAAACCTTAGCTGAATCTCTACAGATCTGATAAAGTGTTAACCTTAAAGAAAAGAAGATTAATATAATTTGAATAGATTATAAGCTACCCACTTACATATGAATATGCAAAGTACTATATGAAAGGTTGGTGCAAATATAGGTGTGACTCAGCACCTCAAATTGACAACATGAAAATATAGAAAAGTCAATTTCCCTAAGAAGGTGATGTGGGAGAAATAGGAAGACAATAGGGTAAATGGAATGATTAATACTGGTTAGCCAAAATGAGAGTTGAAATCAATGATGTGAGTATAAAAGTATACAAGCAATTGAAGCACAAGGGAAAATCCATTGTTAACAGGGGTGAGAGTACCTGTCCAGTCTGCCTCCGTTTTCTCCTAGGTGGTGCTGATACTCCTCCGCTTCCCAAGAGAATGATCCCAGACTCATTCTTGGTGCTGAAGGACAGATTTATTTCTGTGCCTACATCAATTGACACAGGAACAAGTTCCACAAAACCAGGCTTGGGGAAGCTAACTGTGTAAACATTCTGGGTAAAAGGAGAATAGGAGAAGAAATCATTAGAAATGAATTTTAATTTCTTCATTGCAGATGCTTCTTTCCACGAAGGCCATGTGATTATTAAATATACTGTGGTTTAGAAAGCATAAAAACCATTGTGATGTTGAATACTTAAATGCAGTTGAAGAAATATTATTTCTAGTTAGAACTTTGAATATTTTGAGAAGTTTGGGTTAATATTAAAATGATGAGCTGGGCATGGTGGTGCACGCCTGTAATCTCTACAGCACAGGAGGTTGAGGCAGGAGGACAGCCTCAACCAAAAGCAAGGCACTAAGCAACTCAGTGAGACCCTGTCTCTAAATAAAATACAAAATAGGACTACGGATGTGGCTCAGTGGTCAAGTGCCTTTGAGTTCAATTCCTGGTTAACCCTTCCACCAAAACACAAACAAACAAAAAAAAAAAATCAAAATGATGGCCTTGGCTTTCAGTCTAGAACTTCTGATTAAAAACAGAGATCACTATTGATAGATAACATATTCTTTCAGTTTAAGTCTACCTTGCTAGTCCAATGCAGCAGCTTGAACCTATAATTTTAGCTATGTATGGGGGAGGCCAAGTTGGAGAATTAATCAAGTGTAGGAGTTTGAGATCAGCCTGGGCAACATAGTGAGACTTTTGTGTCAAAACAAAACAAAACAAAACAACAAAATCCCTTCAAACAAAACACCTGACTACCTTGTAAAATCTCCGTGAAAATATTATAATCAATCCCTTGAGTATACTCTATCAATTATTTTTTTGTTTGAAAGATGAGTAGAACATGGTCTATGTCTCATTCTTCTTCTTGATGAGTCCACAAGCAAAATGTTCATTAGTTATCAAATATGTAAATACTTTCTGGAAAAAAATTTTAAAAATTGGAGCCTTAAAAACAAAACTTTAAAAATACTATTTTTATTTCTCAAAATGAAAATTATACCATTGTTCTTACTGATTATAAAATTAATCCGGGTGTGGTGGCTCATGCCTGTAATCCCAGTGGCTTGGAATGCTGGGGCAGGAGGGTTCAAAGCCAGCCTCAGCAACTTAGCAAGGTCCTAAGCAACTTAGTGAGACCCTGCCTCAAAATAAAAAAAGTGTTCCTGTGTTCAATCCCTGGTACCAAAAACTAAATAAATAAATAAACACAATAAAATAAAATTAATAAACTATGTTTTAGACAGTAAACAAGTGCAAAATGGACAATCCCAAAGCTGTGTGGAAAAGGATCCTTTTTTAAAAATATGTTTTTTTACTTTTTTTCAATATCTTTATTTTGTCTGTTTGTTTATTTATTTATTTATGTGGTGCTGAGGATGGAACCCAGTGCCTTACATATGTGAGGCAATTGCTCTGCCACTGAGCCACAACCCCAGCCCCAAACAGAGCCTTTTTTTTTTATAATTTATCCATTCATTCATTTTACCTTTCACAACCTTTACCCCTTTCTTTCTGCTCCTCCCTGCATTTAAACTGAATCATGGCAAGCATATTCATTTGTGGTCTCTTTTGCATTGAAGTTTGTGGGCAATGTCTCTCTGTCAGTAAATACAGACCACCATTACTTTTAATTGCTGGGGGACTTTTTACTACTATCAATGTGCTTGCATTTATTTAAGCAGGTGCATGTCTTTGGGCATTTATGGCACTTAAAATATTCATTTTTGAAGTTCTGAATTGCGCTGGAGTAAAAGCAAGCGATCCTTTCATGTGGGCTGTCTTTTCCCTCCACAGTGTTTCAAGCCCAGTTCAATGACACAAGAGTGGGTAAAATGTGTAATCTACTTTCTATTCCAATTTTCAAATCATCACAGAGTTTTAGATAGTTCAGATGAAACTACTGTGCAGACATTTCAATATTTATCCAAATCAAATTTCTGCCTCATATTTTCCTTGTAAAATAATTTCTGGTTACTGCAAATCGCCTTTACAGAATCATCATTTCCATGCATACAGACTATTCATTTTCTGGACAGTTTTCCATCTTCATGTATATATCTTTTGAATGTGGATGAGAGTTAGGCTTTGAAGATTAAAATGCTCAGTAACATTTTCTTTAAGAAGCAAGTATGGATCCTTAAAGTTTTAATTCTTGATGTATTTCCATTTTCCTTCTTCCTAAGCTCAGGGTGAGTGTCTATGGCCAATTCTAAATTAGAGCCTGAGGCTATGAACAATGAAGTCCTGACAGTTCTGTTCCGGTCTTTAAACCTCATTGCTCTGAAGGCAGATTCACTCTTTCTTTTTCCCTGTCCTCTCTTCATTTCCTTGAACTTTACTGGAGTGCTTTAAAACTATTTTAATCCAAAGAAGCCATCAAAATGAACAGTTGTATGGTATCAGGGAAATAAAAAATTTGTGTGATATAGTTAACATTTTCTTATTTATAAAAGGTCATCACCATTGAATGCCTATAAAATTCTTATTAATGTTTTCTATTGACAATTGGCTTTGTTTATGTTTCAAGAGAGCAGAGCTGTGTCCTCAGTCTTTCTCCACATATGAATCAAATCTAACTGGGGAGTCTGCGGAATAGTCAAGTGGAATCCAGGGCCTCTTACAAGAAAAAAATAAATAAAAAATCAGAGATTCTGGAGATTTTGGCTAACAAAAGACTTGCTGTTATGTTACAGAAATCTTTGCAAAGTAGGAAGTTGCAAGTCCCCATCTACATTACTTCAAAGACAAGGGGCTATACCCTAATGGGTATGGTACAAATTACTACTTTTTATTAAATGCTTAAACTCCTAATACATTATCAAAAAATTAATGTTGCTAATAGAGCTATATATATAATGCAGATAGATAAAACGAATCTAAAATAGATGACAGAAAATGAGAAAAAGTATTCTTGGAAAGGAAGGGAGAACCAGAGATATATTAATATTAAAGATACATTTTCTTCATTTGGGAAAATGGAGCACAATCTCTATAACACCATTACCATCACAGAACTTTATAGCATGCTTCAATCTTGCTTTACCATTTATGTATAGCTAAGACCAGGATCTGTAGAAATATATTAACAAGAGCACCCAAACTAAGTAAATGAAAAAGTGATAGGAATGTGTTTAGGGAGGCTTTAAAAACAGACTAACCTCCAGAGAACATCCTTTGGTAACGCCAACGTAATCAGGACTACTGAGTATGTTGTATGGAGTTCTTGAAATTTCAATATCTTTGAGGCAGCCAGAATATTTCTTCACATTTACTTCTGGCCTATTGAACAGTCAAATGGAAAACAAAAGCAACATCATGAGTGTGATGGCAGCAAAGTCTCTGACGATGGGAGGAGGTCATATGGAGCAAAGTGGCACATAGCTCGGTCCATGTCTATCAAACTGCTCATGTGCACATGTACCTAGCACACACCATGCTTTCCAATATCTGCTGGTTGACCACTCTGCAGAAGAAGTCTTGTTGTATTTCTTATTCTCTTTAAAATAATTTCTCATAGTATTCCATACAAAGTATAGAAATTAATTGATTTATTGTCTTCATATGCATAATGAAGTGTTTCTTTTTTTCCATTAAAGAGAAGAAAATTATGAATAATCAAACTACATACAAAAACATTTTTTAAAATTTACTTCAAATTTAGGGAAAAATAGCTGGAAACATTAATTTTGAAAAAAAAATTCTCTTAGTGAGATTTTGGAGAAGGCAGTTAAAGAATAATGTACATTTTTTTAAAAAAAGCTTTTAAGTAAAGCAAAGCCTAGAAACATTCTTCTGGGTTATGTAGCCTAAAAAACATATATTTAAAAATTAAGTTTACAAATCGACCCCAAAGTTTATATTCTGTATTGGAGCAATAATGAAACAAAGCAACTAAATGTAAAAAAAAATACATTATTTTTTCCTATAGGTTGGGAAGTGGCTTCTATACTCACACTAAACTTGAATGTTTACTTTCTGCTTACTGCTCTTTCAAACAAAGCCAACCTGCCAGAAGATTGGAAAATGAACCCTTTGCCTTTGAGAACAGCATGTTGCTCTGAGTTACTATGTGACATTATATAAGTGATCTGACTTCTCCTGGACTCAGTGCACTTAGATATGAAGTGGGCATGATAATAATAATGGTAGTACCTGCATTTATCATGTTGTGAAATTTGGATAGGTCAAAAAAAGAGCACAGCACATGTAAGTGCTCAATAAACATAAACTAGCAGTATGTCCAAGGTACTGACCCCTCCTGAGTCTAAAACAGTGCTGTCCAACAGAAATTTCTGTGATGATGAACACATTCTGTTCTGCACTAAGTCAAGTGTTACTAGCCACTTGTGGCTACTGGGACTTGCAAGGTAGCTTGTGCCAATAGGAACTGCATATTGATTGTTATTTGTTTTTAACTGAAAGTTAAATAGCCAATAGGGCTAGTGACAATTATGCTGAACAGTGAAGGTACATAGAGGTAAACATGCGATTTTTCCTTATGTAGTGTTAATATCTTGAAAAGTGTCCAGTCCACACCAATATTGTGCTTGATAGGGTAATGATTAATTCTCTCCTTACAGTCCCCTGATGCCAAGTTTTTCTTTTTCATCTTAATAAAAAACACACGGCATGAGGAAAAACAGGTGGGAAAGCAAATTAGAACCTGGCAGTGTGTATTAGGTGATTTATTTCATGTCAGGTATTTATTCAGTCCCCCACCCCCAGCCCTCTCTCGCTCTAGAACTTTTCCTTTGATCATTTCCTTTGGTTCTCAAGGTCTCCTCCTCCTGTTCTTTCAGTTAGTAGTTCTGAAGAACATGCCTAACTGGAAGGTAAGTATTGAGCTAAGATTCTTCTTGTAAAAAGCAGAGGGGATAAGTGAATTTCATTTGCAGTGTTCATTTGCTTCCAAATTTTCCTTTAGGGGAAGAAAGATTTATCACAGTTTTCTCAGAAGTCTTGTCAATAAAGTACATTTGTCCTACAAGTTCATTGTTTCATGGAAATATAAAGTACCATTTCCAAATACAATGACTTTGCAAGCTGAATGTTCTGAAAATCATGAGGGGTAAGTAATGACACATGGAGATCAGATTCTTAATGGTAACCATAGGTCTCTGTTTCCTGAGGGTCATCACTCAAGGGCAAATTTCAAAGCTGCACAGTACCATTCCAGAGTTTTATTAACATATATTTCAATTGGAAGCCAGACTTTGCCTTTTATCCATCTCAACAAACATATAGCATGACTAGTCTCATAACAGTATCAAGATAAAACAACTGTTTCATTTTTTCCCCCCACTTTCTGATATTAAGTCTGGCTTTGCTTTAAAAATTTCTTGGATCCGTTAGACTTCATTATCTCCTATCCAGAAATTTGGCATAGTTAGGCTCTTCAATGCTAAAATACCACACATCAGCTCTAGCCAGAGTGTGCCAACCCTGCACATCTCTGGGGTTGATGACTCATCTACAAAGGCTGCTAATTCCTGCTAATGCCTGTCTGTAAGTAAGAATTAATGCACCTGAGAAGATAGGGGGACCATTCGAAAACTTCTTCACTGTTAATTCAAACAGTTGTTTTAAACAGTATTTCCAGAGATTCCTTTCACTTGGCTCCATAGCTAATTCTAAAAAAACACAGCAACTACGTAAGCAGCTTTGCTAAGAGGTGCAAAGGCCCCGTGGATATTTGTATAATTGCAGGCCTGCAAAAAGCAACCAGGCAGTGATAAGCATTTGGGAGCACTGTTAGACTGTTCAGTAGACAGCCTGGCACCAGGGAAGCCAGAGTCTGGAGAATCAAGAGACCTCTTTGCTCTGTCCCCCTGGAACTAGATTGTGCCCATACACTTGAGCAGTGGTACTTGGAGCATGTGCTACTGGTCAGGAGTGGAGCACTGCACAGTTGGTTGAACAAGTAAGCAGAGCAAATCTGTCGTCGCTGGTGAAATATCTCAAATTGCAGTTCAACTGATGGTGGGGAAGCAGCAGCATCTTTGTAAGCGAAGGGCAGCATGAGAACTCTCTCAGAATGCATTATTTGCTCATGAAATGTACTATGAATAAAGCTGCGCAGGTGTGGCTCTGCTTCTGCACTGCTGCTTTATCTAAGAAGCCATATTTAGCCAACCCATGCATTTGAAGGAGGCATGCATAAATTTAAATTTTACCTTGCTTTCATACTAAGTAAAGGGGAGAGAGAGAGAGAGAAAAAAAAACCAATTTACTTATAATTGCATTTTCATTTAGCAAAACAATAAACTTTTACCATAAATCTTCTTTTAAAAAAACTCATCTCACAGAGAAGAAATTCAAAAACCTGACAGAATAGAAAATAGATATGTGCCCTTGACTGAAGTGAAATTAGAATTCAAAGATGACCAGTTTCTACACTTTTCTCTTGAATCATTTTTAGTTTGAAATATGAATTTAAAATACTTATTCCATCAATATAATAAATGAGAAAATGCACAAACATTGTGTTTATGAGAAGCTTATGAATACTGCTCACAAATAACTTGAGCTTAACAAAATATATAAAAATAATTTAAGTCAACCACATAGTCTGCACTTTATCATGATGAGATATGTCTGTATACATAAAAACAGGTAATTATGAATGCTTGGTTCCTTTGTCAATCACAAATATACATCTAAAGATTATTCTGAAATAATATACCATAGTACGATAATATTATAATTATAAATGCTATACTGAGAAAATTTAAAAAAAAATCTCAGCAGAGCAGATTCACTGGACATATAGTCTCCAAAACAACTAAGACAAAATCTCTTCTGTATGAAATTACATATCCATGGTTGTAGATCATTCCTAAAAATCACCACTAGAATAAATGAAGATAGATATGGATAGCCTTATTTTGAATGCACTCAGTAGAATATAGCTAATGAGTTTACAAAGTAAGACTTACATTTGAACAACTGTTGAATCCTTAGTATTTAATAAGGTGGCTGGCACATAGTAGATGCTCAACTAATGTGTGTTGAATACTTGTTTCCAAACTGGATGTCCAAGTATAACTGTGTCTCTATATAGATGCATTTGATTTGCAATGATTTTTCTAACCTGAAGCTTTAAATCTATATTCCTAACACAAATAAGTACTTTATAATGTAGATGAATGCATAACTAGTTGATTTGCACCAAGCTTATCAACTCAGACTGCTAAAAGACTAGTAATTAGATAATGTCTGGTCTATGAGTTTTGATTCAGGAGAAAAACCTTTCAATTTGCATGCTACTGATGTAAAAAAGGAGACTAAAGTTTCACTGCTACATTAGGAAATAAAAAGATAACTGACACCACACTTTTCCACTATAGTATTATGAAATTCCTCCAAATGTAATTTGTCTTTGTGGAGTAGGAACACCTAGATAGAACTTTTATACCCATTAAAAACTATCAAACTAAACACAATACTGTGTATGTAGTAAACTCTAATGATTTATCCAAATCAACTCGTTCCCTTCTAATCAAATTCATTTCACATTTATTAAGGACCAAATCCTTTATATTGTATTTCTTATGTTTTATAATAAGCATGGCATTGACATTATGGTACAGAAGATTTCTGACTTTTTTTAGTTATTTTTTTGAACTGTCTAAACTATGAGCTAAAGATGTTTCCCCATTCTGCTCACTAAAAAGCATATGTGAAAAATGATGAAAATATTGGCATGGGCATGGGAAAAACTAATACAGTTTTGTATTAGGCATATGGGAAAGCTCCAATATGCCATTATAATGCTAATGCTTAGCAATAAAATAGGTTATACCCACAGTATCCTGGAACACTGACTAACTTCCAGAACAGTAAGCAATGTCAGAGTGCCATTACCTCCAGCGAATGTGCAAGAAGAACAGCAATTACAAGACCCACATTTGACTCTGGCTTCTACCTTTAATTACTTTCATAATTCTTTTCAGCAGGTGCATATAAGGGAAGCAGTGATTCTAATCCATCTCCTCAACAAAGATGTCAAACTAATCCTTTGATTTCTAAATCCTGGTGTTGTTCTAACATGCAAAATGATTTTTTTTTTTAGTTAGACCTTTTCTGCTGCTAAAGGTTATATGGCATTCCTATTGTAATTAAACTTCAGAACTCTAGTGAGCAGAATGACCATTTAATTAAAACTTAATCCTTCTTTTTAAATATATGCTAAATTACCTCAAGTTTCTCAGGGTTGGCAGGCCACCAAAATATATTTTGTCATCTGCTTTCAAATCAAGACCAAAGTTGTTTCCAGAAGATGAAGTTGCTATGTTCTCCTCCTGGTTAGTATCTATATCTACAATGGATATGTTGGCTGTAAAGGAAATAGGAAGTTTAATTGGAGCAAATCAATCACACCTATATCATCACTGATACTTCAAGATAAATTTAGTTTAATTCTGAAATTAACATTGACTTTATCAAGTGCTTCTACTATATTTAACCATTTATTAATTGAAGACACAACAGTAACTCCAATAGAATAATTACTGACCTTTCCACACAAGGGAGCATGAAAATAAAGGCTTGAACGTTAAAAAGGCACATCAATAAAAATAAAAGAGAGAAGTTTAGCTTGACGACAAAGAACCACTTGCTATAGTTTTCCATAATACAGGTCAGTAGTCAGAAAATAAATTAGGATGGTGAAGTGCTAAGATGAATGTTAATTAGAAATTAATTTCTAATATTTATTAGAAATATGTTGTGGCTCTTTCTGTAAATGTCAGTGTTCGAAAAACTATTGAAATTTAGAGCCATCTGCAAAGTGGTATGCTCTTGTGTAATATGGTTGTGCATGGAAATGTTGAGATGAGGATCTTTGGTCCTGCAAGACAGTGGGACCCATGTCCATGCTAAATCATGTTTTAGACTTGAAAGCTGAATGTTGTGAGTGAGGGATAGCCCTCAGGCTTAATGCTTTTCTCTTAGGTCTCTCAAGGTATTACTCATGTGATGAAGATAAGAATTCAGAATTAGGATAAAGGAAAGAAGAGTCATTCCTCTGCTTAGACTGCATTGTTTAGCAATGGAAATTCTTTATCATTGATTTTCCTCCCTCATTTGTAAGAGTCAAGCTAGGATTTTTCTGAATTATATGCTTTCTCACCACACTATTTACTTCAACCTCTTCACCCAGTTTGGATCCTTGCTGTACATTCAGTTCATTAACATGATAGATTTCACTTCTTTGTCTATGCCTGATGCAGAATCTGAATTATCCCAAGGTTGAACATGGGCACTTTAACCAGTTGGTTATAATGGAATTTCTAAATGTTAATTCTTTGGATTGTAGTTTCTTGGATGTTCCTGGTTCAAATATATTTGATAAATACTGGGTAAAACAAAGTTAAACATATATCTTAACTTTACAGTTATTTTAACATACTAATGTGCAGTGCAATACTTCATAAGAGCAACATAGATTAAGAAGTATTTAACTCTTATTATTTCCTCTCAACTCACATCTTTTAGAATTGATATCATTGGTAACCATAAAAATATTAAATTCTAAATTCTATTGTAGCTGATAGTGCTACCATTCCCAAGGGATGTATCTTCAATAAAATCAAACACAATTGCCACATAAAAAATGACTCAAATCAATTTCTCAAAACTATTGGTTCCTCAAATTCTCAAAACAGACTTCTATAAAAACAAACAAAACAACTAAAAAGAAAAATTATCCTATTAAAAATAGTTAGCAAGGGAAGATTTTATAATTTAATCATGTTCATAAACTTTAATTTTGTACAAATATTTAATTACTTTAATATATAATTAGTTTTTCATACATATATCTTTTAAATTAGACTGGTGGGTAAAAGAAAATAGATTTATAAAACTGTTTCCTAGACTCCTTCATACATATTCCTTTTTATCTAGATCATAAAGAAGTTTTTATATGGTGCTGTTGACTGGAACATGAAAATCGTCTCTTTCTGCAGACTTGGTGGATATTTTAATGGTGTCTGTGAAATGAGATTCTGCCTCTATCACTGGCAAGCCAGGGACGGGAGGTAGTTTTCTTCCTTATCCTTGAGTGAATATATGCATTTTTAGAAATCATTCTAAGGAAAATTGATTAAAGAGCAGCAACACAATTCAATTGAAACTCACTGGCCCAGGAGTTCACTCCTGCAGGGAGGTGCAGGACAGCATATTTTTGTTAAGTTAGTGGGGGGCTTTATCCTATCCTTCATATGAGATAGTGACCAAAGTGGATTCCACTGGGAAATGCTAATATTTGCTTTTATTTCTTGTGCCATTTCCTTTCCTTAAAGAATAGAAAAATAAGCTATTAACACCAAATTTCAGAGTTGATGAGTTCGGTCATATTTTTATAGGTAAGCAGGGAAATAAGAGTTTTCATTAAATAATAGACACTTAGTCTATTATTTAATAGGGGCTTAACAAGTAATTGTATGATCAGTGCTGAGTTGTTATAAGCTAATTATTTTTACTTGGGTAATTTTTTCTCTCTCTCTCTTAATGGGGTAGAGAGAGAAGATGGGAGGGGAGGGAGGGGGGATGGTAGAGGATAGGAAAGGTAGCAGAATACAACAGTTACTAATAGGGCATTATGTAAAAATGTGGATGTGTAACCGATGTGATTCTGCAATCTGTATTTGGGGTAAAATTGGGAGTTCATAACCAACTTGAATCTAATGTATGAAATATGATATGTGAAGAGCTTTATAATGTTTTGAACAACCAATAAAAAAAAATTAAAAAAAAAAAAATAAATAAATAAATAAATAAAAAAAAAAAAAAAAAAAGAAAACCTATATAATTGTTCTTAGCTTTGCTTCCATACCAATGCACATGGGGGATATGAGATTATTAGTGATTATGGTTCTACTGATTGACTCCCAGGAAGATGGGGAATGCCCCTGAAGGACTGTATTTGACTTCCAAGGAGGAATAGTTTTATAAGTTAGTTGAGAATAATTAATATAAAACAACTAATCTAGTCACTGAAAAGAAGCAATAATCCAAATTGCTAAAGCCTTATTTCAGTTCCTATCCCACTATGCTGTAGAGTATGATATTGCTAAAATCCTTGAGAACACTCCACTCCCTGACACCCCTTCACCCCCTTTTCCAGACCCAGTGGAGTACTTTTGGTCCTCATCCTAATCTTTATGCAATATTTGATGCTACTAGCATTCTCAATATTTTGATGCTACAAGTATACCCCTTCCTTCTAGAAATTTCTTCTTTTGGCTCCCAGCATCTTACGCTCTCTAGCTTTTGTTCTCATTCTCCATCTCCTTCCCTATTTCTTTAAACATTTCTGAGATTTCCATGTTCCCTAATGCCCTTCCTTTTCTCACTTCTGTTTCATCCATCTGAGTAAATTCAAAGTTAACTCAGACTTAATGTGTTGATAACTTAAGAATATGACTGTACCTGATTTTTTCCTAAAAATACAGTTTCAACAGGGGAAGTAATATTATTTGTGTTTTCCTTCAGTACTAAACATATTCCAAACCAAAATGATGATATTTTTACTCCCAAATACCTATTACCTATTTTACTTGGTGGCATTATGTCTCCCCCTTTCAGTCTCCTAAACTAGAAAAGTCACCCTACCCATCATTCACATCTAATCCATCAACATCCTTACTGATTTCTCCTTCTAAATAATGATATTTGTATAATTTTTAGAAACTTTTACCAACATATAATCGACACCTTATACTTTGCCCATGATTAAAGTATGCAATCTAACAAGTTTTAAAATTCTTCATACCTATGGAACCCACCACCACAATAAAGAAAATGAACATATTCACAACCCAAATGTGTTCTGTTGCATTGTAACCCTCATTCCCAACCCTCCCTGCATGCCCTATCTATAGGTAGCCTCTATTTGCTTTGTGTGGCTATAGATCAGTTTTCATTGTCTATATCATTTTATATAAATGTGGGTTTTGTTTGCCTTATTTTACTCATTAATTATTTTTATATCAAACCATTTTGTATGTCTATTCATATTTTATGAACAAGTAGAATTCCATTGTATGGGCACATAACAATCCACGTATTTCCATTTGCCTACTGATGAATATTTGGTTTCTTTTCAGTTTGGGGACATAACAAATAAAGGTAATATGAACATCATGGCATAAGTCTTTGTATGGATATATGGTTTTAGGTGTTTTGAGTGAATGCCTGGGAATAGGAATGGCTGTTTCATAGGGTAGAGGAACCTACAACCTGTTAGCCAATGTTTCTGTGCCATTTTATATCTTCATCAGCAGTGTAGGAGGGTTTCAGTTATTCCATATCTTTGCCAGAACTAGTTATGATCAGTCTTTTAAATTTCAGATTTTTTTCTTTTGGTACCAGGAATTGAACTCAGGGGCATTCTCTACCACTGAGCCACATCCCCAGCCCTATTTTGTGTATTTTATTTAGAGACACGGTCTCATTGTGGTATTTAGCATGTTGCTTTTGCTGAGGCTGGCTTTGAACTTGCAATCCCCCTGCATCAGTCTCCCGAGCCACTGGGATTACAGGCCTGTGCCACTACTCCCGACAAATTTTAGATATTTTTAATAACCATGCAGTGGTATCCTATTTTGGATTTATTTTGCATTTTCCTAACATTGAATCCTACCGTAACTCTTATTTCACTGTTTATTAAGTGTGATCTATGAATACTGATATTGAAGTAAATAATTACATTCTTGTACTTTATTGAGATTTTAATTCCCAACTATAACTAGGAACTATTTCCTTATAACTTTTGTGTCTTTTTCTGTTTGAGCTTTAATGCTTTTATTTTTAATAGAAAAAATAATTTATGTTGCTAGAATAATAAAATGCTTTAAAAGTATCATGAAAATGAGGAACAACCAAAGGCAGGAGAAACCAGAAGTTTTCAACCTAATATGAGAATCTGAGTTCTGAACAACAGAAGTTTATAGGATTTAATGTGATTTTTTTGAGGGGCAACAGGGTTTGAACTCAGGAGCACTCGACCACTGAGTTACATCCCAGCACTATTTTGTATTTTATTTAGAGACAGAGTCTCACTGAGTTGCTTAGCACCTCGCTATTGCTGAGGCTGGCTTTGAACTCATGATCCTCCTGCCTCAGCCTCCCGAGCTGCTGAGATTACAAGTGCGCAGGCATGAGCCACTGCACCTAGCTTAATATGATATTTTTTTAATGGTGATAATATAGAGATACATGAGAGCAGTTTATAGGATGATTCATGTCATCAAGACCTAAAATAAAAGTGAGAATGATTGCTTAGTGTGTTTGATATTTAAGAATGCATACATCAATGTCAGTCTAGAGTTAATGTGAACAACATGATGGAGATATGTGAAAGAGAAGGTATCAGTTAATTGAGCCAAAGGAATCAAGCTAGAGAACAGGACTGAAGCAGAGGATACTATATGGAAAAGAAAAGACAAAGACCTTCAGATTTTTGGATCAGAGAGTAGAAACAACGTAGGTCTAGTGAAATCTGGAAAAATTGCACCAGTGGAGGAAAGAACTTTTCACTTTTCACTTTTCACATTGAGTTACAATAAACCAAAAACATATTTTAACTGCTTTCAAGTTTGTACAGTATTATAATTTGACCTTTGACTAACATTATTTAAGACTACAGGACTCTTGATCACTCACTTTATTGGACAGAGAGTCTACATATTTGACTGATTATAGAAACAGGTATTTCCAAGATTTATAGAAATTATTCTGCTAGGTAGTCAAATCATTCCATCATGATTTTTTTTTTGCATTCTAGATTTATTTTTTAACACATTATTATCTTTAGAGTTTATAGCACTAGGCAATTCAGCCAAGTGTTCCTGAGTATTTTCTTTTTTACCTTTCCCACAGTGTATATACGGACCTTTTCCTTTTTTCTTCAGACCTATTATTCTTCTATCTCTTACCTTTCTCTAGTCTCCATTTATTTTCTACTTTTATAGTCAATGAAAAATTAGGGCATCTGGAGAGAATAATCTCAAAATCCCATCTCATAGCTACAAACTTATCTCTAACTTTACTTCTTATTTCATCTTGTCTCGGGGAGCAAAGGTTTCTTTCTGTCTCAGATTGAGCCCTCTCTTTCCACATGGGTGCAATGCTCCCAGGCTTTCTAAGGGCTTGCTCATGCTGTATTCATTATTTCTTTTGTATTTCTAATTGCTTCCTCTTCCTCTAATTGCTGCCTCTTTCTCCAATTGCATCCTTTGCAGCCTACAGACATGATCAAGAATCATTCATTCAATCTACTCCTCAAGCACTTATTGAGTAATTACTATGTGCTAAGAACTGATGGAGAAAAATAATATTTTTCTCACCTGTGATCCGATCCTTGCCTTCAAACTCCATATCCCCCCTTTTTTTTGCTATGACCTTTTCTTTCTTCTGGATTTTTGTGCCAAACTTTCTTCAGAATCAGTCTACACTTACGGTGTCTGCTTTCCCATAGTACTTTGTGACCTAATACTCTGTTCTTGACTCTCACTGCGGCCACTCCACCATTTTTTTCCAAAGCCCCCGGTGATGATGGATATCTTTTTAATATTTGCGTTTTCCAGGGCTTTGGGCCATTTTATTGTAGACATAACTGCTTGAATTTTTCTCATCACTATTCACAGGCAACTACTGAGATTTAATGATGATTCCTAGTTGTCTATCTCTTACAGAACTCTGTGATCCTCAGATACATATAACTAATTCCTGCCAATTACACATTTTCCCTAGGCTGCAGAAGGTACTAAAAGTACCTTGTGTACAGAATGTCCAAAATAGAACTCAGCATCTTTTCCAGAAAACCTGTTATTTTCCCTGTATTTAAAAGCTGCTTGAATAGCACTGACATAATCTTGTTATCTAAGGAAAAACAAAACAAAACAAAAAAGAAATCATTCTACACCTTTTTTTTTTAAGTTAGCCTCCACATGGCATATATCACAAAAGTCTTCAGTTTTAAGATACTTAATACCTTTCAACTCCATTCTTTCTTCTCCATTCTCACGGCCATTAACTTACTTTTCTTTTTTCTCACTGTCTACCTGGTTTACTGCATACTGCGGAAGCATCCTAAACTGTCAATAAAATATAAATCTGATGATGTTACTTCCTAGGACCCCTATAGTTCTGGAAAGCTAAACTCATTCACTTAGCTTACAAGGCCCTTTATGTACTGGCTTTGTTACCTCAGCTTTATCTGATAATTTTCTGCCAACATTCATCCATTGAGCCTAAGGATTCACTTACAGTCGCTAATTTGTTTCCCAAAATGTTTCACAAAATGCTAGTACTGCAGGAATGGATGTTTTTCTGTGATTAAGTGAGTTCGGGGAAACTTGGTAAAATGAGTTAAACATTATTACTGAACAACTAAGCCAAGCCTGGAACATGCATCCATCATATGTGGGAGCAAGGTATTTGTCAGAATTCCAACAGAAGCTCAAAATTACTTTTTGTCTTAATAACACTCCAAGGAAGTGTAGCTGGGAAATGATATATTCTGCTCTCTGATGGTGACAGACCTTCCTGTAACTTTTTCACCACTCTGAAATGTCCTCATGTGCCTTTATCCAGCTAACTCTTCAACTCCTGCTTGAGCTTCAGGGCCACTGCCAGGACGTGACCTCTCCTTTCCCTTAAACAATAATGTCTTCCCTTCTCTTAAACATTGACATCTTCTTATGACTATTAATCTGCTACATGCATCTCTATCAGCAATTAGAGCCATATAGCCTCTGACCACTGAATCTTGTCTAACTCACCCAGTAGACTGCAAGCTTGTTGAAGGAAAAGGCATGTTTTAGTATGTAGTGGGTGACTAGCAGAAATTTGTTAATTGCAGGAATTAATGATGATACAAAGTTAAATCTAAATTGTCATGCAATGTTACATGGACATCATCAAAATTAATTAAGTCTATTTATATTAACAAATAATAAATGCTTCATTTGCAAATATAGGTAATACCACAGTACACAGAATTCAGGGAATTATACCTAAATAGCAATAGCACCATGTTAAGAATAAAAAGACCTGGCTTCCTCCCTTGGTTGTGGGATCTTATGTACACATGATTGCAACCACGTATTAAGTTTGTGTATTTCCCTTTTTCCAGCAACAGAACAAAATACCTCCTTATGTTATCAAACAAAATAATGTTTGTGGAAGTGTTTTTAAAAGTCCCAGAACCATACAAATGTCATTTTATTGTTAATCAATTATTTACTCAAACACATACAGATCTTTTTGACATTTCTAAAGAGCAAAGACCTGGTAGCTATGCTCTTCCACCCCTACATGTTCTACTGCAGAATTCTTTAAAGGAAACATCTTGAAAAACTGAAAATAACAGAAAAGCACACAATATTTTTTCAAGCCTATTATGGGATATAATTTTACAAGTTGTAAGACAGTTTTATGCTTTCAAATTAAGCTCTCAGTTTCAAAAGAAAATGACAGGGAACCATTTGGCTCTTCAATCAGTCTTGTCTAATCCAAACTACTTATAGCGAAGCCAAGAAATGACTGTGTCAATTTTTCTCAGAACTTGTGAGTAACTGAAATTACACCCAGGGTCTTTCTCCTGATTAGGTTCATGGGTACTTTGGATGGCATGATTAAGGCCCATACTACATTATTACTATAAAAACTCACCTTGTTTTTGAATTCTTGACAGGGTGAATGATTTCCATCTCCCATCATTATGGTTTTGATTGCTGACAATGGAAGCCATTCCTGACCCCAGATCATAGCTGACTTTTATGTGGCCATCACTGAGCTCTACACTCATGAAATCTTTCTATTAATAGAGTAAAAAAAAAATACATCAATGATTAGACACACAGAGAAACATATGGGTATTCACTTTTTTATGGCATTTATAATAGGGCCTTGTGGCTAAATTGCCCAATGTGTTGCTCGGTAACAGAAATACCCTTTGGAAATAGAACTCCTGTTAGTATTGTGTGAATTTTCGTGGATGTTATGTTATGGTGCAAATGATCCCAAATAAACTGCTAAGACGTATTCTATCATTATAGCACTACAAAGTGGGTTCCTTTGAAACATGTTAAGCAAACAAAAAGGTAGGTTCCCTGAAAAAAATTTGCTAAGAAATATTGACCTGAAAAAGTAAGGGCAAAAAAATATTTAGAATCACCTTTCAACTTAGTTCTTTGGGGAAAAAAAAAGTAAGAAAATAGTTTTTCTGCTGTATAATTTTATACTGGGAAAATATTTACTGTCTGCTTCTCTTAAAGGATTATATAAGAAGTTATATTGAAAATAAATGACAATTAAATTGTATCCATAATTGAAGTTATCAATAAAAATATATAAGCATCATCTGCAGCACCCACCTTTGACTACCATATAGTCATCCCAGACTCCCCTTTTTATATTTTTAATTGTAGTTGGACCCAATACCTTTATTTTATGTATTTTTATGTCGTGCTGAGGATCGAACCCAGTGCTATCCACATGGTAGTTGAGCACTCTACCGCTGAGCCATAACCCAAGCCCATCCCAGACTCTTTTAACAATAACTGATGATTTTTACAAATAAGTGATAACTGTACTGGAATTCTACAAAAAAAAGAAAACACATTATCAATTATGAAAACTCTGACTATGCATGTTTTCTTTACCAGGTCTCTTGTGGCAAGGTACATGAGGAGAGCACTTGATGAAAATGTCCGGAACTTGAACATGACAGTGGAGATGTTGGGGTACCAACGAATGGGGCGGCTGACCAATGCATAACCTTCTCCATCAAACTGAATAGTCCCTTCACTGTCTTCCACCTGAGGACTGAAAGGAGACATCTCACATGAATTAGACCTACTCTGTCCATCATTATTCAATGTATCCAACTGAGACTAGATTGTAAGCTATTGTAGAGCAGAAACTATGCCCAATATGTCTTCTATTCTTCTGCTTCTCACCACCTCTACTACTACCATTTTATAACAAAAAATAACCATCTTTCACCTGGACTTCATTAGGTGTTCAAAACTAGGTAATAATGGGTATTTCAAATTTTTTATGTTTAGATGATGCAATTGGTGAATAGTTATATTTGTGTTTAAACTTATCTTATTGCTAATTGTGAAAACTGGTAGTGTTTGGGGATAGGTTGAAATTCTATAATTAGACTTCCCAGATGCATAATGTAATGGACTAACAGACCCCTAATCTCTGAATATTCACCATCCAGTAGATTTTCTTAGAACAGATTAGATTTCAACAATGAAGGATGCCTGTATTTAATTGTGTATTTTTTTTAAATCTGTGTCCTTCACTTGTAGTGAAGCTCTGTGAGACCATCTAGAATTTACAGGCCAGTCCTCATGTGATGGGATTCAACATCTATGTAGCATTTGGCTCAAAGAACCCAGTATGCATTTGTAGGGTAAAGAAGATTTTAGTATAGACAAGTTCTTCCAGAGAATACATGCTTAATCAGTATTGACTGAATAATTATACCTAAGTCTTATGGTGCAGTTCAATTTTCTTCAAATGATGTTATGTGTCTACCTATTTAATCACTATTGATATTGTGGGGATATTGTTTTAAACTTACAGTATCTGCATGTTAGGATATATTTAATCTCTGAAACTGGAGTGTTGTATCAGCTTGAGCATAGAAAGAGAGATTGAGAAATATTATTGTATCATCATTATAAAACAACAGGAGCCTAAAATACTATTTTTATGAAATCATGTTTAATGAGAAAATATATAGTGAACAAAAACTTAATGGGCTTGTGTAGAAAGAGCTGTTACATACTTAGCATTCTGTTCCTGGACTAGAGAGATAAAAGCACTAAAGATAAAGCAAAAGATACTTTTTCAATACTCATGAGAAATGCTAACTGGAAGACTGAGTAAATCAACCTCTTAGGAGTAGAACTGATAGTGAATAAATTGGCTATTATGTGGCCTTCCTTCATGATGATAATGAATGCATTACTTTCTGGAGCAATGCATTAGTGATGAGAAAATGTTTCTGAAAATCTACCTAGAAGTTCCCTAAACTTCTCAATTACTAGAATTTTTCATTATATGCAGCTAGGTCATCAATGCAACCCAGGAAAGGGTTGTGGGAATCCCTGTTGACTATTTTATTGATACTTTGGCCCAATACAGTGTTACTTATAACTTTAAAAAATATCCAAATCAAAAACATTAACGTCTCACAATACAACGTGAGCATAGGTTGGAGAATCAAAACAAAAATATTACATTTTATTTTTCATATACAAAAACTTTGAACACTTGTACCCTGGTGTCCTTATGTCTCTAATCTACCAACTCCCTCAACAGGTAATAGAAAAAACAATAGATTAGAGGGCAAGTACCCTGGAGTCTACTATGAAATCTCATGAAGGTCTTGCTACAAGTCTCTAAATAGTTTTACGTCTAAGTTTCTCAACTGTGATATTAAAAGTTAGATCACTTAGGATTCTCAAGCCCCTTCAACTCTAACACTGAGGAGATTCTCTTACTAAAGCAATAGACAGAGTAAGAAAAAGAGTTTTGTGTAGAAGTGAGTGGCATACAGATAGATGTACTTAATTATTCGCTGATAACAGCCCCCCCAAAAAAAAAAAATTCTAGGCTTGGTGACTTTGGGATGGGGGACAATAAATTCTTCCAGGTATATTCTGTAATAATTCAACAGCTAACATTATACTAGATTTTTCCTATTCATTTTGAGCACATTTACCAGAAACAGTAACTAGTATATTAATAACTGAAAGCATCTTAACTTCCCTTATTTTTCTCTGTTGAACCTGGATGTCTGGTCAAGTTACGAGGGATTAACTGTGCTATTTTGAAACAGTCATTATATTCTGTAGTTAACAAGCAGTTATGTATGTTGGTTTTTGGTATTTAAAATTTCATCATAATTTTAATGTTTAGCTAAATACATTTTACTTTCAGCATTTTTTTTCTATATTTTAATCTTAATGTGATTTTTGGCAGGTTAAGAAAAATGAGATACATTTTAAAATATACCATTGACAAAGTAATCTTTTCAAAGTATAACAATAATTATAACCCTTCTATTGACTACTGAATAAATACAAATTTCTAAAACTGACACTCTAGGTCTTCTACAAAATTTTCCAATCTAGTTCTTTTAGCTTCATGTTTTACATCTTTTCTATAAATTCACTTTTGCCCTTTAACTAGAACAATTGGTCATTATGTTAAAAATGTGATCCGTGTTTTCCTGAAAAGAAAACAGAACACAAACAATACCTAAAGTTCTAAAAAATGATTCTTACAAATACCAGCGTTTATGAGAAAATAGTTTGGGGAAGATCATTCAAAATTTCTGCAACCACATAATCAGAGCACTCACACACAAAAAAAAAAACAATGACAGTCCTAATAAAAATATTTGCACAGCTCAAAAAGATACATTAAAAAAACCTAAAAACAGAGAATTATTCCAGAAACAGAACTTCACCTTAAAAGGAAAAGGTGAAGGTAGTTTGACTACATGGAGTGTAAGGAAGGGTTGACCCTGCAGGGTGACCATGTGCTCAAAATGCACTATGATAGAGTAAAACTGGGCAATGAACATTTCCAGGCTGGAATGCTTTGCCAAAGCCAGCTGAGGACAAGTGTGCAGGTGAAATGGCTTTGTATGCAGGCTGCACTATGGGCTTGGTATCCTGATCTCAGTGTCTGCAGCCTGTTGGGTTGCTTTGCGTTCTGCTACCCTTACTTGACATGCAAAACATTAACATGCTGGGAAGGACTGGGTATAAACCCATGTGACCTCTGTATGTTACTTGTATTGTTCTCCCACTAACCAATCCTGTATGAGCAAGTTCACACTTGTTCATCTTTTTTACAAACTGCAGACTGGCTTTTCAGCCTCCCCACATTTTCTTTCCCTGATCTCTGGGACCAGAATGCTCTCTATATTCCACATCTCACCTGCTCTCTTCTCTTGTTGGACTTTTATCCTATGTTAAGGGCCACCTCAAATGTTGCCTCCTTCACTAAACAGATCTCGATGCCTTCAACCTGATGTGAACAATCTAGGTATACTTGGTACCTTTTTAAAGGGATCTTTTTTAAATAGCTTATATTTTAACATTTGGCTTTTCTTTTTTCCTGTTGATAAATTTCTTGATGTCTGGAACAAGACTGGCTTCATACTAGTATCAGGTAGTTGTATGCATGAATCTTTGTAACCTACAAATTGCCCTATGAATATATATGAATTCTATTATTATTATATCAATTAATATAACACATTGTAGGTTGGTAGTACAATATCTTTGCAGAATTAATAATTAGTGGCATTATAGTCCTATCTGATATGCACTACTCAATAGATATTAAGTGCTTTAGATGTTTTGTTGGTAACAGGCTTCTAAAACTTCTACTTAGAAATTTACCAAAGATACTTAGAAAAAAATTGGTATTTCTTTGTGAGTAGTAAAACATTAACACAGACCTCATCACTTTTGTTGTAGTGAAAGAATTTTACAGATAACCTTCCATATTAAATTTTATTGAAGGTTATTGAAAAAAATATTTTAAATAGGTCATGCTTTCAAACTATCCTCATGCTGTGTTGATAAATTCAAGATGCCAAAAAGAAAGAGAGTTGGAAGTTTAAACTTTCACAAGGAATTAATTTGGAGCTACTTTCTTCTATGCAACTCTAAAAATGCTGAGAAGAAAATGTACAGTGTATTCTGCCATTTTAATGAGTGACTTGGGTTTTGAAAGTATGCATGTGCCCTTTAAATTAGAAGTGAAAAACACAAACTCCTTAGCACTTTTGAATTGCTATGTATATCACATTAAATCTTCCAGATATTTGTGTTTTATAGCTTTAACTTATTATAATGAAATTATTTTATGATAGGGTAACTAGGAGACTCCATTTTTTTTTATGCTGAGAAATCCTCTACTTCTAGCTAATTATTTTATATCCTGTCTTCAAGTTTATATAAAAATTTGTATTCTTGCTAGGAGCAGGGGTGACATACCACCTGCCATCCTAGTGAATTGAGAGGCTGGAGAAGGAAGATTGCAAGTTCAAGACCAGACTCAGCAATTTAGTGAGACCTTCATTAAGTGAGTAAAACCCTGTCTCAAAATAAAAAAATAAAAAGTATTAGGAATATGGCTCAGTGGTAAATTATCTCTGAGTCAATCCCCAGTACAAAAAAAAATATTCTTCCTACATTCTTTGTATACTGGTGTATTTTCAAACTTTTATTCATTCCAGCCTCTATCTTATAGTGGATGATTTGTAACACAGAATTTCTTCTGGTCTGTCTAGACCCCAGATTCTTCTCTTATAAGCAGAATCTTGAAGTCCTGTGGTTTCCACTGAAAGCATTCATAGGAACTGATGTGTCAATTTGATAAAACCTGGGTTAGGCTTCTAAATTTATGCTTAATAAGTTTGGGAAGAACTTTTTTAATGAAATAATAGTCTGGCTACAGAAAAAACATAGATAAGCAAAACCCATGGACGTGAAGGGACACTGAGGTAGAAAAAGACAGTAGTCTTAATTGACTTTGTTGGAAATATCTTGCCTTTGCAAATTTTACAAAAACATAATATCATGCAAACGTACTGCTAGGATACCTCCCAGGACCTTAAAATTACTTGTATAAATTGGAAGCAAGAACTAGAAGTTACATTAGCTTTATGGTAAATCCACCTCTGTGTATAATCATTTCAAAACAGCTCCATATTATCTATGTGACAATAGAATTTTACACTATAAAATAAAAATTTTCATGACACACAGAACCATTCTCAGGGGAGTTCTCAACTAACCTGACAGTACAGCCTTTGCAGTCACCTTCTTTTTCTCGGAAATTCCACAAACCTATAGGTTTACCATCAAAGTGTGTTTCTCCCATACAGCCAGTGAATGTAATCACACGCACAGCATCGGCCTTCTACAGAGAAAGGTATTGTACTTGTTAGAATTAAGAATTTCACAAATAATCTACCAGTATCTGCAAGAATTACTAACAGTAGAAGGTAGACTAGTTATTATCTATTTTTTCTGATATTTTTAATTTCACATCTACTCTTCTTTTAACAACATTATATCACCAAAGTTACTCAAAGATGGCTCAAAATAAAGGGGTGATGGAAGCTCAAATATTTCATCAATAGATGCTGGTACCACTTAATCCCCATTAATGAATGCAATTGTCCCTTGGTATTCACCATGGTTGGTTCCAACACCCCCGTGGATACTACAATTCTTAGAGGTTCAAGTCCCTTGTACCAAATGGGGTAGTAATTGCATATAAACTGGACGCATCCTCCTCTATGCTTTAAATCATTTCTAGATTGCTTATAAAGCCTAATATGACATGAACACTATGGAAATAGTTGTTATACTGCATAGTTTAGAGAATAATAATAATAATAAATCTGAATCTGGACATGTTTAGTACAGATGCAACTTTATTTTTTGAATATTATTGATCCTTGGTTGGTTGGATCTTAGATTGGGGAACCCACGGATATTGACAGAAGTCTATAAACCATTTCTAATTTCTGCTGAAGTTCTCGACATTTTTATTTTTTGGTTTACAACATGGGTTTATTGTGGGAATTCAATTAGATGATTTCTTTATGGTACCAAGCTCAGTGTCTGGCATAGAATAGTTGTTTAGTAGGCATTACTGTAACTACATGATTTTCTTTGGGCAAATCTCGACCACACATACACTAAGAGTATTTCTCTCTTGAGAGCATGAGAAAGATTGATAACACAGGGAGAAGGGAAAAAAAAACTTGCATGTATCCTTATCATTTTATAATAGGGCTGCCTTTCACTTTTCATTTCTATTCATAACCAGGTAGGTCTCCAGTTCAAGAGAATGAAGAAAAAGAAGCAAATTTGTATGAAAAGGACCATACAAATTATGCTTGCTGGTATTTCTAGCACAGGCCTCAGGGTCTAAAAGGGCTCAATAAAAATCTGCTGAATGACAATCTTGATGTTGTTCTCACAGGGAAACGCCATATGCTTCATACATACCATTACTGCAAAGGAGGAAAGTGACCCAGTTCACTTTAGAGATCCTTGATGTAGTTTAAACAACTTAACGTTTGTTTAAACCTTGATGTATTACAGACAAATTCTAAATTTGGGTGCCTACAACTTTAGAAACTCTGCTAAAGCTAATCCACATTACTTGAATTATCTGGAAATAAGGGTAGATTGACATGTTTGGGTTTTAGAATGAATGTAAAAAGATGGTCAATGAATGGTTAAATTTTTTTAGTTATATCTTTATTTAAACCCATCACATGAATATCTATGTGCCTGTCAATGAATATCTATCAATGTGCCTGTGTGGAAAGAATGTTGATCAGAGCCCCTGATATTACAAGTCAGAATGGTCCTTGGAATACTCCCTCAGAACATTTTCCAGAGGTTGATTATCCTACTTGTGGATTCTTTTTGTGTCTCCTTGCATCCTAAAAAGCTATACTTGAGAAATTTTCCTGCTCATTTGAATTTTCATCATCAAGTTCATTTAGTTACTTTTTTTTATAGCTTTGACTCATATTCTCATGTGACAGGAGTCTTGAAACTCTTGGCCAAAATGGTTTCTTAAGATTTTCTACAGATTTCATTTGTCTACTTTTTTTTTTTCCTGAGACTGACAAAAAGTTGCTTTGTGCCAGTGACAACTGCATAGTAAGACTTTATTTAAGGTGTGACTACCTTGACTTGGGCACTGGTCACCTGATTGGTACACATGTTCTCCCTACTCATCTTAGCAGTAGAGCATGGTGATTAAGAGAGAGACTCCTGTGCTTGTTAACCTGTATTCAAATGCCAGCTCTGCCACTAAATACTATGACCTTGATCAGGACAGTCACTTCTTTCTTCCTCTTTAACTATGAAATGAGGATATAAATATCTACCTGCTATGGCTTAACATCTATGTCCTCCCTACCTCACTGCCCAGTTCTTGTGTTGAAATCCTGATTCACAAGGCATTAGGAGGTAAGAAACTTTGCAGGTGATCAGATCATAAGGGTGGTGCCTCCATGAATGGGATTAGTGTCCTTATAAAACAGGTATAAGTTAACATACCCCACCCCCCTTCTACTATGAAGACACAGCAAGAATGTTCCTTCTATGTGTAACAGGCACCCATTAGACATCAAATCTGCTGGCATCTTGAGCTTAGCCTTTAGTAATTTTCTGCTTATTAGCTATCCAATGGTAATTTTGTTATAGCAGTAATTTTATGGTAATTTTGTTATAGCAGCCCATACAGACAGACTAAGACATAACTTTTGGAATGTTTGTGATGATTAAATGAGTTAATTCATGTAAATTACTTAGAATATTACTTAGTGCATACTGTTTAAAAAGTGTTATAAAAGCACATTATTGTTTACTACAATAAAAGAGCAAGATGGATATTTTTATCACCCTTTTCTAGTTGAGAAAATTGAAGCTCAAGGGGTTAAGTGACTTGCCTGAGGTCATATCTTAGTAAGTGGTTGAGGAGGGATTCCAACCTGGATTTGATTTCAAAATTCATGGCTTTTGTACCACTGTGTGCTACACCTATATTTATCTTTCTAGGAAGCAGAGAGACTTGGCAATATGACTATATGTTATTATGTACCACATATATTTATATGTTGTTCTAGGAAATGAGGATGATTTTAGTCTGTAGTTGTGGAATCAATTCCCATGTTTTATAGTCACATCTCGTACACAAAGCAAACAAAGCATCCTTGCTCTCTATGCAGGTTAAGTTCTCATAAATTTGGGGTCACCCTGACTTTTCACATTTTCTGACTAATCTCATCCCAGGGTGATTATGATGAGTCCAGGATTAGCCATTATATTTGGTTGTACTCTTGCATATCACCCACAGGTTGTTTTTCAACACCTAATTCCATTTAATCAACATAAGCTTCTTTAAAATGCAGGCACTTTGCAATTTGAAATGCATGAGGACCTGTCATGAAGCAATTATGAATATTAAGTGCATTACTCTGAGAATGAGAAGAGCAACTCGAAAACTTTTAAAACCAGATCCTGATTTGAAAGCTTATAGCTCTTTGATATTTCCCAAGGTATTCATGAATCTTTTAATTAGATGTGAATATGAACTTTATAGCACTTCATGTCTATAAATTACAAATTAATTCAGAAAATGATGTATATTTAAAAAAAAATACTTCGCTCTTGAGGCAACTAAAACAAGGAAAAAAACCAAAGAACTAATGCCACTGATAAGGGCAAAACAATTATTTAGGTAAATGCACATGGGTTATAAATACAATGTTTCCAGAGTGAGTTTTCAAGATTCAATGAAGAAACTTTTACTCAAAATAAATTTGTGTTCTTTTTTTTTTAAGTCAAGTATAAAGTTACAAGTTTTTTCAGAGCTTCTTCATGCCTTCTTCCAAAGAAATCAGGCAAGAGTTGTCTCTAAAGATGAAATAAAGAGAGTGGGTGAGAGCACATTACCTTTAATTTCCCAGTCAAGCCACCAACAAACAGCATTGCATTTGCATCCACATCTAGAATGGTGTATCCTGGAGGGGATACTGAGTGGTAGGTGCTGGGCACAATGCTGGCTTTGGGTCCATCCAGGGCTCTCACAGAAATAGATCCATTTCTTCCCGTTCTTTAAGGGTAAGTGTTAAAATAAAGGGGAAGGAAATATAGAAAATGAAATGTACATCATATCTCTGTCAACTTCAGATTTCAATAACATAAAATATAGAGCACTCTTGTGGAAAATTTTCAGATAAAAGTAGATGTCTAGCTTCAAATATTCCAAACTCATTAAATCTCAAATTAACACCCAGAGTCTGATCTTTGCTGGATATTTATAGTCAGATTGAACCAGGACTAGATATTCTTATCCTGATTCTGTGTACACACTGATACAAAATGACACAGCATCCATTAGTTTATGAAATTGCTATGAGTCAAGTGGAAACTTTTTTTCTATTGTTTTACATAATTGATGTTTTCTATGCATTCAACAAATTTATATTAACTCATTTAGCATTTTGTCTAATTTAATTTGGCAAGTGAAACCCAGATGAGCCACCCTTCTGCAGTATAAGATGCATATTTTTTTTCCTAAAATTCCTTATAATATTTTGAGTACAAATTTGCTTATGTAGTCTTCCTGAAATTGTCTTTTAGTTTGCTGCACCATCTTAATGTATATAGTATAATATATAGTCTTCAGAGTTGTGTATACAAATTGTATGGGAGTTCTCTTAAATTCAATTAACAGAATTTTGAAAGCTATTAGCATTTTATTTCATTTTCTTCTTCAAGTGATTGATTTCCATGCATTGTTAAATATGAAAATCTGGTCTCTCTTCTGAGACAAGCAGTCATAACACAACTTCAGTGTCATATTTCTCTCCCTGCTGTCTCATTTTGGTAATCTTTTTATCTTTAAGGGCCAGCTTTAAATGAAATACATGGGAACAAAAGAGTGAATTTAACAATTAAAGTTCTTCTTTAACAGAATGAATCTCTTCTGATAAAAGTGTACTTTGTGAGAATAAATGTCCTAAAACCTGGTAAAATATTTAATCCCTCCATTACTACCACATATGTTAGCACATTCTGTTTTTTTTAATCTCTCTCTCTCTCTCTCACACACACACACACACACACACACACACACCTTTGCTGAACTAAAACTATTGCTTTCCATAAAATTTTCTTTCAAACTTTATTTTAGAAAAAATAAGTGTGTATAAACAGAATGAAACTATATGTACCTATGTACCCCTTATCTATATTGAGTGCTAGTTCAAGTGTTCTGCACCTGTTTGAAGAACTTCATCTATAGTTCTAGGTCCTTAGCCACACCACTCAGCTGTTAGATTCTTTGGGCTTAATAGGGAATTAAGAATTGGGAAAAGAACAGAAAATAGGGGGCAAGTTCTAGAGACAGGAATGGTTGTTTAAGTAATCCACGTGCTGTTCAATGTTGATAATTGGATTAAGGCTTCAGAGATAGAATTACTGATTCAATTTCCTATGACTTTGCATTCTCAGAAGAAAGGATTGACATAATACATATGGATGCTGACAGTTTCACAGTTTCTTGTTTTTTTTTTTTTTTTTTTGCATCTGCCTGAAGACATTGTTGCTACCTAGGCGAGAAGAGGAATTATGTACACAAAAAGATAAGCAATAATGGAATTCTTAGGCTCTTGCCTTTGTTTAACACGAATGTCAGTAATTTATTTTCCCCCTCAAGCAAAATAAAATGCCTTCAAATGGCTAAATCCCCAAATTTCTACCAGATAACAGATGAAGAGGTCATAAATAGATTGGTCACTCTGGTTGGTACCTTGAAGGTGTGGCATTCTTAACAGGTATAGGAATATATGTATACCCACATTTATGCATATACATGTAATATGTGAAATTCATAATATGTACATACAATCATACACAGCTACCGTATTAAAATGGAAATAGGAGTTTTCTCTGAAACTGGAAAGCTACTTCAAAATTCTGTTACTGAGTTATCTTAATCTTTATTGAGTAGTTACCTTGATGCTTCAATACGGTACCAATATGAGTCATCAATAGTCAAATCTGGATATTCCACACGCCCAACTCCAGATCCAACATCCCAGAGGAAACTTACTTTGCCTTTACGCATTTCTATAGCCAGAAAGTCAATCTGGTTTGGAGAAATACAAAAACAGTAGATTATTAGATGTAAAGCCCTTTGAAAGAGGAGTACCTTAGAGTACTTTTTCACAGGTGTCATATAGAGATATGTAAAATAATTGGATTCAGAATTCATTATTGTTTTCACCAATGACACTGACATTTTTGAGATGCAGCTATGATTTTTTTTTATTTACCCAAAGTGATCCAAAGTTCCTCATCTGAAATGGCAAATATTAACTTATTTCAAAACTGGTTTGCTAGAGTCTTATTCATTTTGGAAGATCCCACACATGTAGAATCAAGTGGTTCAAATGGGAAGCATTAGAACTCTATGTGTAAGTTTTTGTAGATTCAACTTATGCCATTTCAGTTTGAGTCATAAAGTCAACATGAGTTAGAAGATTTTCATTGGTAAGAAATTAGGACACAATTTGCTATTTTAATTTTATTAATATGAACTTTCCTTGTAATTTCTCAGTTTGAAAAGAGTAAGAAAAAAAAGCTTTATATCTACTAGCTCTTCTTTTTAAATAGCTAGATCTGAAAACATAATTCAAAGTAAATGCTGGCATACTAATAGATGAAAGCAAATACGCCTAAATATTGTAAAGAATTCTCTACTTATTTGCTTTCTAACTTCACGTGACACTTCAGAACTTCATGTGGTGAGATTCTGAAGTTTTCAAATCTGAAAGTCTGGCCACCTTAGACACTGTTGGGACCATGTTATAAATTCTGTGATTTTCCCCTAACACCAGGGTTACCCTCTGACATTACATGTACACAGTAGACTAAAAAAAAGCTGAATATTAGACTTACAAATTTGGCACTTCCAAGATAAAAAAGGAGGTTGTCAGCAACGGCTGTCTTGACGTTGACAATAATATTATTGTAGCTTCCTTTCTTGATTTCCGGCTTGTATGTTCGAATGCAGTCACCTCCGGAAGACACAGATACTTTGATCTTCAAGAAAAACAAGGTACAAAGACCTTAGACTAAATCTCTCAGGAAGTTTGAAGTAGCTCCCAAACAACCACAAACCCATCACCACTTTTTCTTTGAAGTTGTTTTTCAATCATCAGATAGTGTGATTAAGTGCCCATATGCAGACACCATCATGCTTACTAGTGAGGGCACAGAAGAGCAGCTCCCCACTCGCACTTTGACAATGAGCTGTTCCCAGCACCTTGGCTTGTTAGCATGCTACTAGTTTTTGAAGCATGCAACTAACAAATTCTTCCCTTCATACCTGTCTCTTTTGTGAATATAGGGACATTTTCAAAAGGGGGTTTTACGAGGAGCTAATGGGAATGATCTTCATTAAGGTTGCTTAATGAAATTTTACAATTCAGGTTTCAGCAATTTGGGTATCATTTAAAGTAGAGAGCTATTTTTTCTTAGTTTTCAAGAGGAAATTACCTCCCATGCTCTTACAGTTGAAAGAGGCCAAATAAATTTTGTTCTAGATGTTATAATAATAAGAAGGATATTAATCATTCCTCTCAGAACATACATTTCAGAATAAATTATACTTTTTTTATTAAAAAATGCCAAGAAATGAGATGGAAATAATTTCTAAAGGCTATCAGTACTAATGTATTTAACAGCTCCTTTTTCTTTTGAAACGTACTTTAAAAATTACTATGAATTTCTAAGAAAGGAATTCCTATGTGAATAGAATGACACTGTTTGTACCAATTTTTATCTACATTCAGGGAGCCTTTCTTCAATCACAAATAACACTACCTGATTATTTGATTTCATTTCCTTTGGGTCAGGTACAAAATCACCATTGAAGGGGTGCTTTTAGGACAGCCATGTAGTTGCTTGGTCTGAGAAGTTGCAACTTGGCTGATTGATGGTACTCATAGGAGGAGGCAGAGAAAGGGCAAGGAACACAACCTCTTTTGCCACTGGTTCCAATGCCCAGCCTCGGGGAGCCTCTGGGCCCTCATTGGTAGTGAATTTCTGTTTTCTCTTTTCGTCTGGCATTTCGTGCTACACATTTAGTTTTCACACTCAGAGCAAAACCAACTAGCACTGTGGTCACCCTCCTGGAAGGCTGGTGCAGACTATAAACAAAATAGCCTAGGCCACCAAGCCAGTCTCCATGGATCTACAAGAGTTTGATTAAGGTGTAAGGGTAGGGAGCCCAGGGGCCCCTCACAAAGGGTAGAGAAGACTACACCCAGGAGGTGCTGGATGCAAAATTGTCATGTTTTAAAAGGGAACACTAAGGAGGGATTTTTGGTTTTGACAAACAGGTAAATTCATATCCATTAAAGAGTATCTGGGGTAAGGTAGAGCAGGTGTGTTGCTTTCCCACAGACATTAAATAAGTCACCTCTAATTGTATGATATTGTTGCCTCATCTGATCTGCTGACCAAAGTGCACGTCCATATAGAGGAAACTGTGTTCTGAAAAGAAACAGACACTGTTTTCTCCCCTACCAGGAAGAAATTAACTCGTGGAGTCTGTGTGTGATGGCCTGTAGCTGGAACTGGAAAGATCTGTGAAGCCTACTTCTTAAACTACTGTCCTGTCCCGTCTTCCCCTCAGGATGTGGTTCAGCCTGCCAGAGGAGGAGTTCAGGACTAGGGGACCCTCTCTGGTGTTTACTCTGTGTCCTGGACAGATTGCTTCTTGTTAGTGTGGTTTTCAGTGAGGAAGTGTGAGTTCTTTGCTTCACACGGGAATATCCCTTCTACATATAGAGTTGAGTAGGTGAATCAAAGTGAATAACAGAAAACCCTAACCAGGAAATAATATGATTTTGACTATGGATGTCAATACTATAAAGCAGATATGCATGGAACTGGGCAGAACAAATTATATGATAGAATAGCAGTTATGCAGAGTTAAGAGATTGGAAGGATAAAGCAACACAAGAGAAAGACCATGTTGTAGAGAACAGGCAGGGAAAATGTAGTCCTCAGATATTTTTAGTGTTCAGGAAAGGGTGTAGGATGTAGTAAGTTTTTAGGAATTTGTAGCAACTGGACCAGAACCATCATAAGAGAAGACCTAGGCATTGAGCAAATTTAATATCTGAGGCAGACTTTAAGTACCAGTGATACCATAAGAGGATTAAAGAGAACAAGAAAACCAAGATCTAACTGCCATTCATGAGTAAAAGTGAAAAGAAACTGCTGTGCCTGGCAGGAAATCATATCTAAATTCACAGCAGGAACAGATTAGTAAAAAGTAACTGTGTATAGTTTTTTTCCCCTTTCTTCATAAATGCATTATAGGCTTGGCTATAGGGCCATATTATGACTAGTGTAATCATAAGTCATTTTTGTTTAAAGAACACAATTGAATGGTACTCCTCATTTATCATTTAAGGAAGAAAACACTGAATATATGTGGAATACGTGGCCGCTGGGTCACAGGATGAATTTCAGGCTTTGCTCATTTATACCTGGTAGAAATAATAGGAGATTACATGTTTGGTTAATTGAAAAGGAGTTTCCCAAGGAGTAGAAGACAGAACACCGGTACTGACACCTAACTGAACTAATGAAGCTCCATCTGAGAATGCAAGTGAAGAGCATAGCCATTTTAAAACAAAAAAGTGTATAATGTCATTAGGATTTTAAATTAATCTACTGTGCAGCATACTTTACATATCTAAAAATATAGTTCTCTGAACAAAATGGCATTGCCATACCCAAAATGCCAGCAATTAATCTTGTACACTGATCTATGGTTCAACATTCATAACATTAAACATTCACATAGAAAACCCTCTGGATTTTCTGTTTTGGTTTCTGTTTTAGAATATACCTCAGTAACTGAAAAATTTAGGCAGTGAAAACTGTCAGCAACTGGTCCATAACTACTAATTTCTCCTTGCAAATACTTTGTATTTTGATTTTTAAGTATAGGTATTTGTTGTAACTAACTTAAAACTAGTGAATCAAAGTACAATATCTATACATTTATTTAGAAGGAACCTCAGGAAAAAGGGGAGAGATTTTTGAAATATGATCATTGTGTTAGGATGTTTGGCTCTATGGGCTGTTGTATTTCTAATGTGTTTCCTTAGTAACACTTCTGAAAAAAAATAGCTAAGTGTTAGATATTTCTAGGCATTTTTGATATAGCATTCTTTACCAGTTAATCATTATGAACTCAATTAAACATTATTGACTATCCCATTATTATATCTATTGAATTTTCATTGCATTTTTCATCTAGTAACTAGGGCTTTCATTTAAAAAGAGTATCATCTGCTCTATATGAAATTCAACAAATTAAAACAAAGCTGCTTTAAAAATGTCTTTAATATCTTAATTAAGAAAAGTCTTTCTTAATTTCAAGATCAAATATGTGTTAGGGTCAAATCTAGACACTCATGCCAAGTTGCAAATATATTTACAAATCAGAAAATATAATCTTTAGTTCATATACAAGTCATTTGAAATACATTTGATACTTGCATTTTTCTAATATCTCACAAAAAGTTAGGCATTTTGTTGTAACTTCCACTTGCAAAAGTGAAAAAAAAAAACTTTCTTGAAAGACATGGACAATGTTTACTTATTCTAGCATTGCTTTGTACCTTTATTTCACTTTGGACGTTGGCATAGTTTATATACTCACATGTGATAATTTTGATTTTGTGGGGAGAAGAGGCAAATCATTCATGACTGATAAATCTATGGGAAGATTTTTAAGTTTCTTAGAATAAAGAAATAATAAAAATATTCAAATTTCTTCACTTGGTGACTAAATCAGAAAATGGCTAAATGTGTGATCCACAGGCACATATTTACTATTACCTTTTTCTCTAAGATAACATTGCAAAACACATATAGAAGTGATACAACAAGTTCTTCCTATTGCTCTTGCTATATTGGGTCCTTCTTTCTAGTTTTTGTCACCTGTCTCATAAACTATTTCTTTGTTGTGCTCAAAAACGTTCAGTTTTATCCAATGAGAGTTATCCCGAGTACACTTGTTGCCAAATTATAGATACTGCTTTATTTATCATTTAAAGATTCATAAGACCTGGCTTCCACTGACCTTTCCAGTTTAATGTTCACTTTACCAATTATGCACGATCTCTTGACCAAGTAGAATGCTTTTTTCATGGAGTGGTCCTGAAACTTGCTTCTCTCTCTGTCTTGGCTCAAGCCATTCCCTAGTTTCCCTTGTGTTCCTGCCCTCCCACCACCCAGCACTATCCCACTTCAAGGCCAGGCTGAAATCCTTCCCTTTGGGAAATCTTTTGACTCTCCCAGAAGTGACCCATTCTCTTTAGAATTGTGAAAGCTCTTCCCATGCATGGCTCATGTACATGGCCCAAAATTTTGCATCATCATCATGTCATATTTCTTCTCCTACATTATAAACTTTGAGAGTTCAAGACCTGCCCCTCTCATCTTGGTATATCTCATAGCAAGTGGCACTGAACATAAGAGATGCTTTTTCTTCTTTGGTTAAATCTTAGACAAAATTCTAAATTCTGGCAAAATATAGTTATCTTTTAACCTCATAGTTTACATACATAATGATCATCTGCCGACCACACTGGTTTTCTTATTATAGTTGAATATATGACTTCTCAGATCCTATCACTACCTCCTTTACTCTCATCTTACGTAACAACATCTTCATTAGTCATTTTGTCATTTTCTTAGTTTTTTTTTTACAGTCAGTCATGAGTTCCTTTTCAAAGTTCACCTTGAACTTATTGCTGTGGCCTTGTTTAGAATTATTAGTCATGTATGAAGGGGAAAAGGAATACTGTCATTCAAGTATTATATTCTTGGACACTACTAAAAATTATATAAATTGATTAATTAATAAAATTCTTTTCTGATAATCCTAGCCCTGAAGTTGTTCAAAAATGGTTTTTGAGATGAAAGACTTATGAATCTAAAAAGGCTTAAGTTGAAGCCTGATAACATAAAATATGTCTTTTTAAAAATTATTATTTCTAAAATCATTAGGTACATGAAGTTTCACATTGGTACTTAATATCCTGGTTTATTAGCATGAGACTTTCTAGAAAGTTGTGCTTCTATCTTAATAGTCTTCACATTGGATAAATATAGAGCAAAATTTTAAGACATTTAAGATATTTCCTAATCTTTCTTTGAAATAAAAAATACATATATTTTAATATAAAATAATTTTTATCATTGCTTGTACTCAGATGAAATAACACATTGTGTATAAACCATGGTTTCTCTCTGCTGTTTCCCTGCATGATCTCATTTCCTTAATCCAGGGCACAACCTCACAGATTGGCTTTTTTGCTTATTAAGAGTAAGGCATTCTCATCAATGTCTTGTTAGCAGTCAATAATAAGATCTTCGTTGTTGCTATTTATTTGATTAATTCAAATATAATAAAATATGCCAGAATCTCTAATTCTAAAAAGTGATTATCATTCTCATGAAATGTCTTTTGACATTTGTAGAAAACTATGTAACTTCCCTTTTCTGTCCTCTTTAGCTTCAAGTTAAAGGAAGAGTCAGAGATCATTCAATAGGGTAAATTGGGGGAGGACCTCCCCTTGGGGAATAATACTATTTTGTTATCAAAATAAGTTACTGGTTCTGAAAATAAAGAGAGTTTACAGAATTGGCTTGTTTCCGGGCTTGATTTATCAGTTCCTTGATCTCAGAGATGTTTTTCTTCAGGTTATCCTCAAGTTCCTTGATGGGTTTCAGTTTATCTATCAGCCGATCAGCTTCTTGTTCTAGATTTTTCACAGTGGCATCTGCATCTGCAACTGTACAGAAAAAAATAATGTGCGCGCACACACACACACACACACACAGAGCGAAATTAGAATGGTATTATGTTTAACTAAGCAATTTCATCTTATCCATGTGACAAAGCAAGGCAGTGGCCGCCAAAGCAAAGAGTGTGATGGCAAATGTAGGTATTTTAGTTGAGACTCAAGCAGGTCAGAGGCGGTATTAAAGTTTTTGGCTTTGGGATGAAGCTGAAAATTAGCACTGAAGATAGAAAATTCGATGAACTTAATCCAATGCTTCATCTTTTAGCTTTAGCCAAAAAGCTAAACTTTATAAAATAGAACTTCAGTCATTGAAGAAGGAAAATGAAAGTGTCTTTAAAATGTCACCAAGTCTGTCCAAGCCCCAACTGTTTTTTAATCAGGTTTATCACACAAAATTGGTTTTCTTTCTTTTTCTGTCTTTCTCTGCACATCTTGCACAGAGAAGCTATAAATGTGGCTTAAAGAACATTTTGATGTTGAACAACCCCGAGACTGGAGGGCTATGTTACACTTTAATTAAATCTTTCAAGTTGTGGCTCGATTTCATTTTGAAGAATAGTTGATTATCCTGCACTATATATTAGGTTGAACCATATTAAACTGCTGTTTTTTTAGGTTAAAGAAAAAGATCGAATATTGGCAATTTCAAAAGTTTGAACCCTAAAATAGTTGAAGGTTATCAGTGATCCATAGACTTCGAGTATGTTCTTTTCATAGAGGACATATAACAAATGGAAAACTAATTATTCTATCTCTAGGATGCTGGCAGTCTTATTCAAACTATGTCAGTTATTATCTGATTGAGCATGTATTGTTCCACTTTCTGTCATTGTAATCCTGATGAAAAAGTAAAACTGCTTAAGGTTCAAGGCTGTCTGTACTAGACTGAATGATCAGCTCTCTGGCTGACACTGGACCACTGAGACCCAACCCTCAGCATTGAATCAAATGTGCTCAAATGGAAGTAAATTATTATTTTTGAACTATGTTTTAGATCTAGGTTTTGAACTCATGCTCAAAAACTGAATTATATTGTTATTGTGTTTAAAACAACATTAAGACTATTCTTAGCTTTAACTCCAAAAGCTGCTAGATCAATGCTTGAGTATTTTGTTTCTGAACTGCTGGTTTTTGTGGGTCTAAGCCCTTGTTGGATAATTGTGTAGACAAAATATCCTGGCTACCCCTTAGTATTGTGAACTTTAATAAACTATTTGTTCTTTTTCTCTTCTTTTTAATTCTCCAATGTTATTCTGATTTTAAAAATTACTCTAGAATTGAGGACAATTGATTTAAATTTAGATTCACAATTAAGAGAAAGAAGGTGTTAAACAGAGATTACTTAAGCATAGGTCAAAAATAGATCCTTTTCTTCTAAAGTTCCCAGAAGCTCACATTAACTGCTTCAAAATGGGATCTGGAGATTCCCTTTCCCTCATTCTCCTCTATCTTGTGAAATAGTTTAAAGTTATATGGCAACTACCTTCCTGAAGGTCTGAAAAATAAATCATCTATGATACTGAGTCTGATGCTTTCTTGTATAGCAGTGTTTGAAAACGTTCTCACTTTAACTTCTGAAGACAAATTTTGATAAAGTTGATGTTTCTCTAGAAGATTTTATCTAGGTTATAATTTATTAGCCTAGAGTAGTTGACACATACTCTTATGTGTCAAATTTCCTCTGTCGTCTTGTTATATCTCTGTTAGAACTTTGCCTACTTGTAATTTACTTTTCTTGATTAAACCTATCATTTATTTTTTAATCTTTATTTTCCTAAATATCTCTTGGATGTATCAGTTCTATTATTTCTGTTGTTTAATTCGTTAACTTTTTCACCTTGTTTTTATGTCAATTTTAGCTTTTTCTAACCCACTGAGCTGGTTTCTTAAAATTGTTTATTTCAATGCTGGTTTCAATTGCTCTCCCATTTTGTCTTTGTCATAGCCTTCAGATTTTGATACAATGGATTTTGTTACTATAATATTTCTAGTATTCCTCAGTTTTACTTTTAACTTTAAAATATGAGATGTTCAAGAGAATATGTTTATACCATAGTAGTTGCTCATTTATTAAGATCTGATTTTAGTGCTTCTTCAAATACAATTCTTTAGAAGTTAAGAAGAATTACTCATAAGGATGGGGGAATGGAATATTTGTCATCAACAACAGAGACCTAGTGGTGTATTTTAATCTGCTGCAAGTAAGTCATTTGAGCTTCTGTGGCTGAATTTTGTTATTATAATTGCCTTCTATCTGTGAAGGAATTCAGTTTTCCATTTTATGTAGCTATCATATAGATATTTTACTCATTTTTTCATAATGCCATTAAAAACATTTTATATCAAATACATGTACCTACTACCCTTATATAAAGGAAGATTCTCTGTGTGTGTGTGTATGTGTGTGTGTGTATCTAGCATTAAAATGATGAGAGTGGAAAGAACAGCTATGTAAAGTTCAAAACAGCACAAAACATGGTCACATGCAAAGCTAAAGCTTTTTGTGATAGGCAGTGAAGCATAAAAGTTGGTAAAAATTGCCCAAGTAAACATATACATACTGATTTCTGCAGGTAATTTCATATGGAAGTAAAACAAAAAGAAATTAGAAAATTCATGAGAACATATTTTGTATTGATATTAACAAAGTAGTGACATCACAAACAACGTTGCTTTCCAGGACAGGTACTACTTACAAATGCACCCCATTTTGCATCAAACGAGTGTTATGAAATAAAAAGTATACAACAATATGCCATTTATCAGACTCTTGTTCATATTAAAAGAATTATTCCTGTCATGTTTAAATAAGATAGAAAACACAAAATTTAATTAATATTTGCAGATAATTATTTCTCTTAGCAGATAATGTAAAAGAAAATGTGAGGTGTATTATCAAAAGCCACTAGTTGAGAATCAATCTAAAATAGAATGAACTGATATATTATAAAATGAATCCATAGTAGTATTTACTTAAAATGCATTTTCCCTCACTTTGAGGGAAATGTTATATAGCATGCATCATTATTTAGATGAAATCTTTGACCTGTAGGAGAGGCTATCTCTAGATTTACATTAAAAAAATTGAAAACATTTCTATACCCCCATCTTTTTTTTTTCTTTGAAGAAATAGCAAGGAATGGAATCTTCTGCTTCTTAGCTCTGAAGTTCACATGCCATGTGTCTGTGCTCCTCCTTGCTCATGATGGAGTCATGAGTCTCCTCAAGACCCCCATTCACAGTACTGGCACAGTAGTTTCTATTATTCTATTCTTAGCATTTGAGTTGAGCTGATGGTGCTGAAATCAGCACCCTGTCCCATTCAAACATCACCTGGATTGTATGGCACATAACGTCAACCAGAATGTTTTTGTTATTGTACTCTCAAGTGCCTTGCTATTCTGTGGAAATGTTAGTATATAAAGAGGGCCAGTCTCTTGGAAGTGGAAAGTACAAAAGCATAAATAACTGTTCTGATAAAAACATACTCTAAGATAATGTCTAATCACTTGATAGGAGTGAAAAAAAATCCATGTCAATGTTTATAGACTATATTTAACTACAAATATAAATTAAACTGGATACATCCTTCTTTCCTAGAAATGCTTAATAATTAAATCTAAATAATAAAATATTAAAATTTTTAAATGTTCACAGTGTTCAAGCTAAGATCATTTTCATTCCTTGTTCTAACAGGCCTGAGAAATGAGCGTGCTCCTCAAACTAGCCTGAAACTCATCTAGTTCTGAGTGTAGAATTTCCTGAGTACAACTGTATTTTCAATTACTCTAATAGATTTAAAAAGTATTTGGCATGTCTACATCAAATATCATACAGACTTTGGGAAGTCCTAATCTCCTCTTGATTGGACAAAGTCTAGATGAAAAAAGGCACCAGGGCAGAGTTGGGAGACTTGGATTCTTTGGTTCTTGAAGGGCAGGGCACTCCATCTACTGTGCCCAGACTAGGATTGAGAGGGCAGACTACAGCACCATGAGAGTCTTCCCATCTCTACCATTTGAGTTGAGGATACTTTTACAGTGTGAAGAAATAAATAACATTATCGCAGTGAAAAAAAGGAGATCTTACTGTTCTTGGAAGGATCTTTTATCACCGCATTCGTTTTGGCCACGCTATCTGCTAGTTTATTGTAATTTTGCTTCAGGCCATCCAGGTTCTGGTGGAGCTCTTTAATCTGAGCCAGTACATCTTTGGCGGTGTCGTTGGCTTGTCTGGCTTTGTCCTTAACAGCTTGCAGTTTAGCGGCTGTGTCTGTCAGCAGAAGAAGGTATGAAAGGCAAAACAATGGGTCTGGAGCTGGTGGTTTAATCCATGCTTGTCAAAGTGAGGCTGCGGCTGGCTGACCTCAGGGACACATTTACAAAGGGGAGAGGATGAACTCTGTGTCATTCGGTTGTAGCAAATGAAGCAAATTTTTTAGCTAAATTAAATTTTCTCAGGGACCTTTGCTATGAATACCTGATTAGCTTTTAATATAGTAAAGTGATTATTCTAAATGTTCATTGTATAAGGGTATATTGTGATTTGCTGCTGAACATATTAAAAAGAGAAATTCATCCACGTGAGTCATATAGCTTCATCAAAACCAGGCTTAAGATTTAATCTGTATTTCCAGAGGGGAGAAATGATGTGTTTCAATTTTAGGATAGAGAGACTTTTTCAGGAATGCAAGATCATGCATTTGTGTATATTTTTATGTTTTCAGCACTAAAAAAAATTTTTTTTGATGGAATTGGGAATTGACCCAGGGGTGCTTTGCTACCTGAGCTGCATCCCTAGTCATTTTTATTTTTTATTTTGATGCAGGGTCCTGCTAAGTTGCCCAGGCTGGCCTCAAACTTACAATCCTTTTGCTTCAACCTCCCATGTTGCTGGGATTACAGGTGTGCACCATCCCACCCTGCTCTGAGCATTGGAAATTTTCTAGGCACTTATTACTACAGAAAAAACCTGAAATTTTGTAAAGCTACTTTACAGTATTTTAGTGTTAAAGTAAAAACCATTTAAACTTTAACATTTCCTATGTTGTATAAATTTGTGTATTTATTTTCTGATCATAATTTATACAACAAAACATATTGAACATATAGATGCACATAGTGTGGGTTAGTGCTTAAGACCATAGGCTCTGAAGTAGAACATCAAGGTTCATGTATCATAAATGTTACTTAAACAATGTCTTTCAGTATCTCTTGTCTCAGTTTCTCACTTGGAAAGTGAGATTATAAATGCTATTCACATTGTGGAATTAATATAAAGGATTAGATACATGTAACATTGGCATATTGGGTAAACACTCAATAAATGTTTATGACTTTCATTATTATTGTATCATGTGACTAAAATATAAATATAATATCCTTAAAAGAATATGTGCTTTCATAATACCTAGACATAATTTCAATAGTTCTAAAGATAGAGAGATAATATGGGCATGGTTTGACCACCAATGCTTTTGAAAGCTAGAACAGCTAAGGAGTTGAATTTTGCGAGCACAGATTTATGGAAGGGCAACAGACTCTCATCTAAGATGGTAGGTACTGTAATAAACTGAGATGTTGTTGTAGTACATCGAGATTGTAGAGAACAGTATCTATATGATTTTATTCTTTCCCACTAATACAAGATTTCTTGGGCTGAAATATGGAAGACAATTTAATAATAATGTGTCTATATCTTTATTTCTATAACATTCTTCTAGATGCCAAATAAAGGCAATAAAAGATAAATAACATCGTAATGTTAAATGTGATTTTGTTTCTCATTCTTAAAAGGAACAATTCGTAGGTAAGAAAACCAGCATCTAATTTCCTGATATTAGTACAAGTGAAATGTTAGAAGAATGGTGAAAGTGAACTATGTTCTCCAAAAGTTCAGGTAAAATGACACATGTGCAGTGTCCTGAATGCATACCATTTGGAATGGCTGATAACTTTTCCAAAGTGTCATTTAAAGCTCTCAGGAGATCACCATTTCTGTCTTCAGCATTCTCTAACCTGGTTGTCAAATCATTTAGATGGTCATTATTTTCTGTGAATAGGGAAAAACAAAAAAAGGAAAAAAAAATAATTTTAATTGCCTATGAGCTTATACTTGGATGTACAATTTCAGGTTATTCAATACAAAATTAATAAAAAAAACACCTCAGTGTAATTAGTTTATTGTCATCTATCCACGAATATGTTTCTAATCAAATATAAAATACAAGAATTTACAGTCACTTGATGTTTTAGCATGTTTAATGATTATATTTTCTTCTTGATATCCAACGTCCTTCTGATTTAATTTGATGGCTTCCTATGGATAAATACCCTGTAAGAGTCAGTCTTTTGATGCATTTGTAATGTTACCCTCTTGATATCATTCTTCTTATTTTCACTTACTCAAAAATTTTTATTACCCAAATGGATCACAGATTTGCTTTTTAAGATTTCATATATGATTGTTAAACAGAATCTCCTATTTTAGTAAATACTACTATTAGTATTTATTTGAAACAGATAAAAATCAAAAGAAGGAAAAAAATAACTCATATCTAATATGACTGTCATTTTTCATAGAGAAAGTGGTATTTTTAAAACTTGCCTCAAATGGACTTTGTATAGGTAGGTCTTCTTGTTACTTTAAAATATGCTTTATTTAACACTGAAAATATGATATACAAATGATAACTCAATAATATCAGTGTAAATTTTCCAGCTTCTTTCTGCTAGTTTTTAACATTTTCTAGATATTCCATTAGTTTATATTGTAGTAATAATTAAGTGTTTTAGAATTTCAGTGTTAAAAACATAAAAAAAGTGAAAACTATGAAGTCATTTGGGGGAAAGAAAAAATAGATTCAATTTGTTTATATGAAATGTCAGTATAGAAATCTTACTTCATTATGCATCAAACTGTAAGTATATCTAAAGACTGAAATGGAGTGAATCATCGGTCTCCTTCTCTTATTAGTGAACCATGGAATGAAAAACAAAATGTGTAAAATACTATGCTTCTCAAAATATTATTTATTTCTACTGACTCGATAAAGCAGACCATTTCTTGATGGTATTTTTAGTAGCTTATTATGTCATCATATTTGTTTCCTGGGGTGATGTATGCTAATTATTTAAATTAGCTCCACAGAATGCAAAAATGTAAATAAGTCTCCATATAAAGAGGGAAACTGAAAAAAGAAAAAAAAAAATAGCAAGACAAAAAGGTACCCCTGTCTCTCCTGTACAGGACTGGCCAATATTTAGTAATAGACATGGCCAGTGGTCAATGAGCAAGTGCCCTGGACCCCATGTTGTGCTTGTCATTTTTTGTGGGTTGTTTTACTTCATCCTCATAATAACTTAACAAAAGCCAGGGATGAGAAGAGCAGGCTCATTGGGTAATAATGCTCCTTCCACCTCCACTCATGCCCCCAACCTTTTTTCTTCTCTTTTCCCCTCCCTCTCCTTTCTCTTTTATTGTCTGAAAACATTGGTCATGGTTATAGAAAATCATAGGAGACTTACACAAACATTGTCCCTGTGCAAAGGTGATAGGTAAAATATGCAGTGTTTCATGTTTTGGAGGATAATGGGTAAAATATAGGAATAGGTAGTTCACAACAAAATAAAAAGAAGGAATTGTCAAAATAAAACAAAGCACAATATTATCATTAAAAAACTGTAAAGCAAATGAACAACAAGATTTCATTTCTCATCTTCCAGATTGGGAAAAGTTAAATTTCTGAAAATATCAGGTGAGAATTGATGCTATTGTTTTAAGTGCAATTTAATTAAATATTAGAATTTTAAATAGACATGTATTTGGTATGGCAGTTCTACTGACAGGAATTTATCCTGTGATACACTTGTAAAGTCATATCAAAGTTTATATTCTGGGATATATATTAGATCTTTATTTGTCACAGCAAAAAAAAAAAAGAATTTTAAATTCCCACTATTAGAGTATTGTCTATATTAGTTCAGCATATCCTACAATGGTACGTAGGAAGCAAACTTTAACAAGAATTAGAAGAGTAAATGTGGGTATAAAATGATCTTTAACACCTTTCCTGAAAATGGTGGTTGGTGGGAGATAGGTTGTGACGAATGTACCCAAAACCATTGACTGTGCTCATAGTTTATAGAAACTATGAAGGACTGAGACACTTAATGGTGGAGGAGGTTGTAGTGTCCTACAACCACTCATTTTATAATTGCCTGTATTAATAAAATGATTTTCTCTGTGCATATATTTCTCTTGATTTATTTAGAAAAAAATACTTAAGCAACCTGAATTGAGGAAGAATGCCATTTGTCATCTTGGTGTTATCTGCCCATGCCAGGACTCTTATTTTTACCACTTTTCTGGCACCCAGAGTGGGCAGACCAGGAGAGGATATGTTCCTCAGAATAGAACCAGACTGTCTTGATATGATTGTGCTCCCGCCCCTGCCAGAGGCAGTGCATCTGGTTCATCGGAGATGCTCCACTGGCAGGCAGGCCACTTGCAGCTGGGTAATAATCCTGGCCTTTACCGTCCTTCCTCTAGGAGGAACAGCAAAGGGGAAGGAAGACAGAGGATTCTGAACTCTCACTGTTCTGAATGTGAAGAGTAGTAGACATGTTAATTAGAGCTACATCCCACTTCACACAAAGGGTTTATAGGCAGACTGATTAAACCATTGTCATACTACACATATAACCATGATTATATCACAGATTATACTAATGTATGTACATAATGTTGTTTAAAATGCCTGCCAAAGACTTGATATTACAGAAAAACAAAGCATAAAATAATAGGGCAAAATATGGTTCTAAAACATCAATATGTCTGTTTCAGTCACTAATGTATTATTATTTCCAATTCTAGTCCCTCTAAATATGTTTTGCAAGTGATTTAATTTTCTCCTCTGTCAATCACAATTCATCTCTCTCTTAATACTTCTGTTATTTTCACTGCTTGTTCTAAAATAAAATCTTTGGATAGATTACCAAAAAGTATACTTTTGGAAATAAAGCAGTCTGATTATGACTGTGATTTCTACACAAATTCCTTGAGAATACAAGGCTGCTCTTTTAATAATAACTTGGAAGTCTTCATCAATTACGGACATAGAACTGTAGAAATTTCAATTCCCAGGTTCTTGATTGGATTTGATTTTTAAATAATGAAGTATTCAAATGCTCTGGCAAGCAAGATATTCACATACAGGGAACAATCATCAATTTAAAGGGCATCACCAAATTTATACCATTTTCTGCATTCTGATAGCAAATGCTGGTGGAACAATCAGGCCAATTATTCAGAAGAGAGAATGACCTGAAGATTATTTTTACTGCTGTCCTTCAAATTTCAAAGCAATAATTTTTATCTTTTTCTGTGCTGGAAAATTAAAATGAATATGTTCTGACCCTATTCTGATTTTTATGTCTTAGAGATCTGACTCTGATTCTTTCTTAATTTATCTTTTCTTACACTGATCATTTATTTCTTAAGTAGTTTCTAGTACTTCTTATAGAAAGACTAAACATTTTGTAGCTCTGGAAATAGCATTGGGTGAGTAGGTAGAAGTTGTGTACAAAAAAGAATGATAGATTTTGAAATGGAAAACTAACAAAACCTACAGCAAAGAAAAAAAATAGATTAAGAAGTCTTTCAGTATTGGTTTCAAGGGAAAAGAGATAAGATACAGTGTACTCATAACTCAAAAATATAAGGAAGAATGCTTGTGGTTGGTTTGAATTTTAACATGACTGAAGCAACATAATTATTGAGAGTTAAAAGAAATTCTAACATAATTCTTTACTTTCAATTTCTAGAGAGCAAGAAAAGAATTCAATTTATTATCTTCAGCTACATTTTGTAGGATTTTGTCTCCTTATTTTTTGCTGAAACAACAGCAATAGCACTAGCCCTGCCAGTCCATCTTCTCTCTAAAGGCCTCATTCACTACACCTCAAAGACTACACATGTGTACTTCTTTAGCTCTGGCTCTCCTATGCTTACCCTATCATCACCCTTCAGAAGACAAAGTTAAGAAATGGGTGTGGCAAAGATAAGGCTAATAAATCAAGGGAGGAGATGAAGCAGAGCAGCCAGGATAGACTGTGAATGTGTCTGATGACATGATTTCCCTCTCATGCACAACCAGAAGTACTACAAGGCAGTCATATCCCTATAATGAAAAACATTAGAGTTCAAAGTCACTTTCACTGTCCATAAACATTTACTCATATGCCATGTTCCTGGCATGGTGGTAAATATGAGTCACAGTGCAGTTAAATCAGAACTGGTGACACGGATCTATGCTATATACGATATCAAAAAAAACAACCAACCAACCAACAAATAACCCAATTACTAAATGGGCTAAGGAACTGAACAGACACTTCACAGAAGAAAAAATACAATCGATCAACAAATATATGAAAAAATGTTCAACACCTCTAGCAATTAGGAAATATGAATAAAACTAAGATTTCATTTCATTCCAGTCAGAATGGCAATTATCAAGAATACAAGCAATAACAAATGTTGCTGAGGATGTGGGGGGAAAAGTACACTCCTACACTGCTGGTGGGACTGCAAATTGGTACAAACACTCTGGATAGCAGTATGGAGATTCTTCAGAAAACTAGGAATGGAACCATCATTTGACCCAGCTATCCCACTCCTTGATTTATATCTAAAGGACTTAAAATGAGCATATGAAGGTGATGTAGCCACATCAACGTTTATAGCAGCTGAATTCACAATAGCTAAACTATGAAACCAATCTAGGTTCCCTTCAACAGATGCATAGATAAAGAAAATGTAAGACACACACACACACACACAATGGCATATTACTCAGCCTTAAAGAAGAATGAAATTATGACATTTTCTGGTAAATGAATGGAACTAGAGAATATCATGCTAAGCAAAATAAGTCAATCCCCCTAAACAAAAGCCTGAATGTTTTCTCTGATATGCGGATGCTAATTCACAATAAGATGGGGTGGCTAGGGAAGAATAGAGGTACTCTGGATTAGACAGAGGAGAGTTAA